AACGAAGCCTTTTTTAATCCGATTCCCCATTTTTTTTGTTATAAACAAAAAAGATGGACTTTAAAAAAAAAAAAAACGGAACTTTTTTTTCAACACGCTGCCATTTTTTTATTTTTTAAGATTTTAAAAGAACGCTTGGATAACAGATAGCTATTAATATGTTTAATAAAGAAAAACTTGTATTTTTTATTTCGGTTATGATAAACGGACGTTTTCATGCACACTGTGCAACCACCTAAAATTGGAGGAGTTCTGCAAATATTCGCACAACTTTAAAAAAAATTCTTTTTAAAGTGAAAATTTTTATTTAAATACTTAATAATATTGTATTAATATTGTAAAAAAAAAAATTTTATCAAATCATTGCATTGCTTATATTTTCATGCACGGTGTGTATGAAAACTCGAGCTACGTTCGACGAATTGACTTCAAATGTTGCATGCGAGTTCCTAATAAGATTCCGCATCTGTTAACGAAGCCTTTTTTTAAGTCTTAGACAGTTCGACTCCCCATTTTTTTGTTAAAAAAGATGGATCTTTAAAAAAAAAAATATTTTTTTTCAACATGCTGCCATTTTTTATTTTTTTAAATTACAAAAGAACGCTTGGATAACAGATAGCTATTAATATGTTTAATAAAGAAAAACTTGTATTTTTTATTTCGGTTATGATAAACGGACGTTTTCATGCACACTGTGCAACCACCTAAAATTGGAGGAGTTCTGCAAATATTCGCACAACTTTAAAAAAAATTCTTTTTAAAGTGAAAATTTTTATTTAAATACTTAATAATATTGTATTAATATTGTAAAAAAAAAAATTTTATCAAATCATTGCATTGCAAAAAATCTAGAAAATGTACTCATTTCTCGAAGGTTCAAACGGGTTTGCCCCCTTAAGAAAAATCGATTTAAAATCAATTAAAAGGTGTGCGATTGATAAAGTTCGACCACTTGATTTGGAATCATTCAATAAATCCCAGGTTGTGGATTTAATTAATTTTCCTTATTTATCGTACTTTTCATCTACTTTTTCTTCTTCTAAGCCGTTCATTGCTCGGCAACACCATATATATTTAACATCTTGGATTACGACGTCAGCAAGGAGGAAATTCGCGCGTGCTGAGTTTTCTGAATTTATGTCTGAGAAACCGTTGTCCCATTTTGGTTCCCAGTATAAAGCTGGCTTTACGAGAAAATTACCATAATTCTGCTGTTATATCAACATAACGCATCAATCTGGAATTGCATTTATGACGCTGGGTTTCCACACTTTCCACAAGCATTTTGACGGCCGACTTTTGCATTTTCGTCGCTTCGCTGCATTTCATTAGCACACTTTATGAAACCTAAGTGAAATTTCCCTAAGCATAAGTTATTTGCATAAGCTTTACGTGAGAATAATATGTATTAGTCGTATATTTCTGTCGTCGTAAGGCCGTTGACATATACATCAGCATTCTATACCTAAGCCATCTTGACGTTACGACATCAAGAGCATAGAGAGAGATCGCACTTTGGAAGTTATTTCGGATTTTAGAGAGCTTCGACAGCTGCTGTCATTATTCGCGATATTCCGTCGTCGAATCCGTGTCGAGGTTTATGCCGTGTTTCGAGAGTTCGCTTGATTGAAGTGACGGGGCTCCGTCGACAAGAAATGATTTACGCCAACATAAAGACGTCAGCGCGAATCTCGCCTCTGACGTCATAATCCAATACCAGTTCATGTAGGTAGATAGATACGTATGTAGGTGGAGGCCCTTAACGTAAATTCTCGTTTAAAATCAGCGAGCTTCTACCTTAACATCTATTGAAGATAACAGTACACCATTTTGTTGCCCGCACAAACATCTTAATTTGCTGTATAAATATTGCGATAACGATCGAAGCAAAAAGAAGATAACAGGATAGGAAGGCAACAAGGATAGGGGAATCCCGGCGCGGCGCCATCGTACTCAGTCGATTAAAAGCCGTATTCGAGAACTTAT